ATCTGTGCTCTTAGTGACAATATGGAACTAACCTACTGTTTATCTTTTGTTTTCATGGATGATGTGATTTTTTCCCTTAATTTTGGTGTGTTGTTCTATTAAAAGCTTAATAACCCAAAATCTAGTGATTTTATCTGAATCAAACCTTATACCAAAAAAAAAGCGAATAAAAAATTGAATCCAAACTTGCACAAATATACAGGATGATGCATTTGAAATTTTTGAGAAAAAGTATAATTCGCGTTTTTGACCGCCCTGTATGAGCAAAAATGAAAATTCGAAAAAGTAACAAATAAGATAAAAGCTGATGTGTGTAAGTTTTTTTGATACAAAATTCAGCACTCCAAATTTCAAAATGGCAGATTGAGGTGTTGCCGAAGTGGACGGTTTTTCTGGACAAAACACCTTATATCTCAGTAGCTAGTTACCAAAACCCCATAGTATGTTATATCAATATTCTTCTTTTGAATTGGTTTATCCAAATATGCAATAAAATTTGAGCATTCCATTTTAAAAATCACAACTTTGATATGTAGGTCAAAATTGGGACTCCCTGTATTTTCGCCCACCATGTGAGGACCCCCCATGTAAAATTTACATACAAAGTGAGGAACGCGACAAGGTGAGGTCCATATACGCGCTGCGTGCGCGGAATATATTTTCCGTACGTGTATATTTTGCAGTCAATAGAAAACCGTACCGCACCAAGTGAGTCGTGCGAACTGGACATTCCAATCCACATTATATATTTCTTATAGGAGAATAATAATCAGCATCGGTCAACGATACGCTGTGTCAGACCTATTCGAGCGGCATCACGTAAGCCGCGGTAAAGACGCCGGGGTGAACTGTTAAGGCTGCTACACACAGTGCCGCCGGCTAAGCCTCCGTGCACCCGGCGGCATACGGAAAGGAGCCGCCGGGGTGTGCCGGCGGGTTACGCGGCTTGCCGGCGTCACTTCGTTCCTGGCATTCGAGAGGTAGTGTTGTGCGGTTTGTGTGTTGCACTTCACTAGCGTTCTATGTGACTGTCACAACCGGAATGATGCTTGGCGCCTTGGCGGATTTGCGCGGCTTGTATTGCCGCTCGGCATAAACCCGGCGGCATTGCCGCCGGCTTGTGTGTAGAGGCTTTAAGGTGTGTTTATGGTTCATGAAATGGGTCTCGTAGTAGGAAAGCAGTGTCAAGTAGATAGCTTTTCGGTTTATAGGAGGACGCGATTTTCATCTAACATTATAAAAATGCCGTTTTAGGTGAGAAAGTTTTGAGACAGTCACTAATGACCTTGCGCTTGGCAAGTAGCACTTGCCAAATTGTTACTACCGAGAGCGTCAGCAGGTACTTCGTTTAAGAAATCTGAGAAAGACATTATATGCAAGAAAGTTTTGGGACTTGCGGCTAGAAGGTAAAACTTGTAACATTTGGGTTACTATCTGGGTTACCTTTCTGTCGGAAATGTGCTTTTATACTAAACTTAAACATGTAAGATATATTTGACAGATTCTATTTTTGCATTCTTCAATAAGCTAACAAAAACCAGGATCAACCTTGCCGGCTAGTTCTCAATAAACGGATAAACGGAGTTCTTAAGAGTTAAAATGTGTAATGGAAGTGTGGCGGGTTTGTCTGATAGGATTAACGTATAGCGGCATCATGATAGTCTAGAAGCAGAGCCCCCATTTCAAATGCGGGAGATTATAAGCCAGCCAGAGAGTAGCATATTTAAGTCATTCGATCCAAATCGTAATCTTTGGTCCCCATATTAAAAAATGGTCGTCAAGCTGTAAAACGGTCATCCAACGTACAAAGATGAGCCATCCAACTTGCACATACCTCTTGCATCTTCTGGCCTCCAAAAATACCGAATTGCAATGTTGTATTAGCACCGAAGACGGTCTAAAAAGCATGATTGATACTGGAAGGTAATGTCCGAGCAATAAATTATAGATAAAAGGTACCGCATTCTATAGAAATGAATAAGTCCTTCTTGATTCAATTTACAAATTAATGCATTAATCAAAGAAGCCATCATACGAGTATTTTTAGTCATAAAATATTACCAGACATTTGAGAAACAATTTTAAATTTCAATAGGTATTAAGAGTAATCCATGTAATTTTTTCTTATGAATGTGGAAGTGGAACAACTAGCGGGTACGCTTATGCAGTCGGCGGTGCGGCAGCTCAAAGACGAAAGCTGTATTTTGTGTTTTTGGCTCACAAAGAAATTGACAGTAGCTAGAAAAAAAGTCATACTTTTCTATTTAACTCTTACGTTTAGTGGATTCAGCATGGATAATCAGTTGTTGTTTGAGTGTTCTGGAGAGCAATAGTGTTGTAGAAGAAAGAAAATGTCTCGACAACAAACCCCGCGTGAGAGACGAATGATCATCAAATGTTATGAGATGGGTATATCCGCGGAGATAGCAGATCAGTTTGATATGTCGGTAAATTATACAGTCTTTTTGATCATAGTACACTTTCAGTGTATAGCATAGAAACATTTTTATACTGGAAATTTATTTTGAATAACAATATGTATTTTTTTCAGAATGCTACGTGGTCCGTATTAAATTTTTGTAAGAATGCTTTTGTTTATTTGTTACTTTTGTTTATGGATTTATACAGAAACTGTTTTTTTTAGAATTCTAGATTGTTTTATTACTTGTTTGTATTTTAAAGGATTTTATTTTTATTTTAATTGCATGGAATTGACTGTTTTATTTTATTATTTTATACTATATATATTATATATATGTACTCCATAATCATTTGAATTTTTATTGAACCACTCACTACCTTATTATAACAATGAGCTGATGGATTATAATTTATTGTTTGCGCAACCTACGTTTTTGGCTTGAATGACAAATATTTGACCTACCATAGAAAAATTCATCTCTCAATCTCTGATTGGGGACCAGTTGTTAACCAGACCGTCGGCAATGAGTAATCAGGGGAGCAGAAACACTTCGTTCTGCGACCTGTCTTTATGTAGAGTGTCCCTCTTTTTTCCTGTATAATTTATTGCCGGTTTATTTCTTTCATCGCCTTTACGGCCGTCTGAGCAAAAGCTAAACATACACGGTAATGTTTATCGAAAGGACATGCGATAAACAGGTTACAATAACAATAAGAGTTTTGAACGTAACAACTAGAATTCCTAGAGCAATTTTACATAGAGTACCCTTCAAAACACTTTAAGGAGTGTGTATATTTCGTATCTGCAAGTGTTGTGTTCTGAAGATTTTAAAATATAAAAATTGATACATCATTATCTTAAAAAACGCCGCAAATCCTTCCACTCTCAAATCTGCCGTTGGTACTTAAGGAATCATCAACTTGAGCATTTTATAGACCAATTTTGTATGACGAGAGGTAAGAAATCAAAGGCCCTGGCTGATGACATTCCGGCATTCACGGTGGCTTTTTTAACCCTTCACTGGTAACGTCACGAAACTTGGCACAACTGGTATCATCGGTCTGTGAGACCCTTCCATAGCTGTAGCGTTCTAGAAGGGTATAATAGTTGGTATGGAATAATTTTGATTTGAGAGTGAACTTAACACTATTGTAGGATAATATTCATTGATATATGGTGAAATTTATAATTTGAAGGAGGACAAAAATAAGAAAATTATGCAATTTTTGGCATCATTTCATATTTTTCAAAAAACAAAAAAAAATCGTGATTTACATTTCTAATAGAAGTAACATAAAGATAATATTCAAGTAATACATAATAGAGCAAAATTGAAGTCAAAATTAGTTGGACAGGCTGGAACTTTGTTCGTCTGTTTTTCCTGCGTAGCACATGTATTTTTTGCATTGTGCACAAACGAACCTAGTTTTTCTGTGTTTCCTACTATTACAAAACGCACATCGCCCATGGATCGCATTCTGTGTGGGTAAGTTCTCTACATTCCCTCCATAAATTTCGGTAAGTCTCCAACGAATTGTCCTAGGAATATTTTGCTGAAGAGATCTTCTTACATTATGTTCCTGAATAAGTTCACATCCCAAATTTTCCAAATAATTTTTTCTGGGTATTTTTTTCTGAGTATTTGATTTGTAAATTATGTAGGACTTTATTCCCGCTACATTCAGACATCTGTGAAAAATTACCATGGGCCAGCGCCGAGTTCTTCGCGCACAGTTGTATGCTGCACAGTTTGTCTACAACATCGACTCCTCCTTTTGTTCGATTGTAGTCAATAATTATTTCTGGCTGTCCTGTAGTCGCATCAATGTTATTGTCATGATGCATAGATGAGAGAACTAAAACGTTTTTATTTTTTCTAGGTATATACGAAACTATGGTAGAGTTTTCCCGGAAAGCAAACATACTGTTTTTTTCCGGCCTTCTGATGGTTGTCATAATTGGTGGTATTTGCGGTTTATTTCTCCTTAGCGTTCCAATTACAGTGATACGATGTTCTCGTAAAAGCAGCTCAGTAAGGTTCATGCTTGTAAAAAAGTTGTCCATTGTGACGTTCCTTCCTGTTCCCCAAATGGGTTCAGTAAGCCGAGGTACCAATGCAATATTTGAGGTATCTACACGAAATGGCCCTTCAGGTTGTTTTCCAGCATAAACCTCCATCTTAGATGTGTAGAACATTTTAGCATCTGCTAATGCATATATTTTTATGCCGTATCGATTGGGCTAAACGAGCACCTACCCCGAAAGGCTTCTAATTTTTTATCGACAGTAGTGTACACTGAATGGCTGTAATATTTAGAGATATTGGAGTTGAATGTGTCAAAGATCTCACGTATTGGAGCCAACTTGTCAATAGTTTGTCTTTGCATTCGGGTATTTTTGTCGTCAAAACGAATGTGCCTGAGGAGAAATTGAAACCTTCTCATCGACATCGTGAGTCTATATATTTCTATTGATCTACCATCTGTTCTGAAAAGATCTTCTGCATTCTGATGGTTACTTTTTTGAAATGCATATATATATATATATATATATATATATATATATATATATATATAGCATGCCTAGCAGAGCTGTCAGTTCAAAGATGTCTACTGTCTTATTGGTTAGGTATTTTGTTATATCATAGGACTGCATGGCAATAAAAATATTGGTATACTCTACTATCTTTTCCAGCAGTTCTGTGGTCAAAAAACATTCCCAAATTTTTTTGATGGTATGTTTTTTCCGTATTTCGCCTCGGGGACCTGGTAATTGTGTGTAGAGGTTTTCTTGTCGAGTTCGAATGTTACGCTTCAATCCAAGATGTTTCTTCCATCTCGTACCATCTTTTCCAATAAGGCAAGGCACCCGTGTTGCTGGTTGTACGGTAACGTGATCTTGGACATCGTCAGTGACTGGAATATCCTCTTCAGAGTTTCTGTCATACTCGAGTGTTTCTAAATTAACACCTTGTAGACTTTGATCATCTTCTACCTCGGATGCGGAAGGAGTTCCTCAAATAGGCGTAGTAACCTTTCTTGTTCTTTTTCGTAAGAATAAGCCATTCTCGTAAAAATTGCCTAAAATATAATACATGAGTAAAATATGATGAAAGAAAAAATAACTCACAGTCTAATTTATAGAGCACTCCGCTGTTCCTGTCTCAATATGTTACATCAGGGCATGCGGCCCGCGAACTCCTTTCTTGCGGCCCGCGAACTCCTTTCTTGCGGCCCGCTTCACGGGTCATGTGTAAATTACTCTCAAATACCGAATATGCACAATTATTACATTAACTCTGTAATAATGTTGTATAGAAAGATTTTATAATGCGGCCCTACAAACTGCATTTTTTTTTTTTGGGAAGTGGCCCTTGGGCCACATATCTCTACAACGACCTGCACACCAACACTTGCCGTTTGTGACTAACTAGATAACACTGTTGTCTTAGGGACCGTACGTTACCAGTGGTGGGTTAAGCAAATACATAAGTTATTCTTTGCGTTTAGTGGTGTTACAACTTAAGCGACGATTTCTCAATTTCCAAATATGTTATGTTAGAATAATAATAGTCGCCTTTATATCATTAGCGGAGCATCGAAATATTAGCATACCACTTCTTGCTAGTTTCGCAACACGTAAAACAATCCAGTGTTCTGTGGTCAACTACCTTCAGGTGACCTTCCTCCTGACTAGCTGCTATATCACAGACATCACAGTTTAACTGCATGTAGGATTTGGTATGTAATGTATTTCAGACACCTCGCCAAAAACTGTTTTAACCACGGAGTGACGCTAGTCTTCTATAGTCCATATCATTTCGCCACAACTTCTTTTAAAAGCAAACATTTTATGATAACCCATTCTTTGAATAATTCAGCAGTTACTCAGATACGTCTCCAGGTGTTACGAATTCTTGAAGGTATTCAAAAACCACTTGGTATGAGAGAGAAATCTGTTTTTGGTGGAGTAAATACCACTTTCGATCAGTAGTATCGAATTCATAAATGCTGAAGTCAGTTTTGGCATATCTTAACACGCAGTTGAAATAACATTTCAAATCCTTTAAATTACATGATCAGTCAAAGAGGTCACGTGTAAGCTTAATGAGTTTAAATACAGGCCATTATTAAGGGGATATGAAAGACGACGTCACGCGATCCAAAGCGTGGGCATTTGGCCGTCAAGTTGCACAACGGTTATTCAACAAATCTTCTTCAATATTTTAAAATTCATTTTACTATTTTTTTTAAGGTAAACATATATAAATAACCCAATAATTATTGAGGCGTACTATGGAATTTAATCTTTGAGAATGTATTTAAATAACACTACTTTACATGTAAAGTGGTCTGTCTTTGATAGTGCTAAAACCAAGTTCGAACTGTCAAAAATACAGCACTTACTAATCCTGCCACAAAATAGAAATAAGTAATTCAAATCTGTTGAAGATGGCAACGCTGACTATGAAGCAAGGTGCTATAATTTGTAACGGGTGTACTGACATGTGCTCTGAACGTTAGTCTGGAAGTTGATGATAAAGTGTATAGAGTAGTATTGGAAGAAAAAGATCACGTGATTTGAGTCATAAGGCATTCATATTTAAAAATGGCGACCAAATCTCAAAATACTTCATAAGGCCTATATCTGAATATTTATTGGATTATTCGAAAAATGTATGACATCAAAACACGTAGTCCTATTTCATGTAGTTGATCTTGGCTGGTATTTTAAGTCCCTATGTTACCATCCGTTGAATTCGAATTCTATACTAAAGTTAATACTACCAAAAAATCAGCACATTACAAACATCTTTTAATCTTCTCAATAAGAGAAGTTATCATGTGACTCTGTTTTCTACCAAGAAGTTTGTCTTTTTTTTCCTACTACACTAGAATCACTTGTACTTTAATGGAACATAAACATCCAACTTGCGAATATGGTTTTTGCAACTTGTAAAATATTTAGTGGTACTAGTAGTATATCGGGTGTGGAACACAATACCTTGTATTGTATAAGTATTAGTACCAGTTACAAGTAAATTGACTTCTAATTATTATACCATACTTTTTATGGAATACGACCGCAGTTACAAGTATAGTGTGCAATACTGTCAAAAAATGACAATTCGTACAGACGTTGATTTGTAAAAGTGCTTTGAAGAAATCATACATTTTAATCAGTAGATTCAGCGAGACATTAAAGAAAGCATAAGCATGGAAAATCTTAGAAAAATGAGACTAGCGGTCCGGTAAGAGCTTTCCGAAGAAAGACACGTGACAGTGCTCCAGAAATACATGTAGTCCCTTATCGTCCAATCATCGTATATGCTACTTTTGACGAACATGCTTTGACAATTTTCTTGAAAAGTGAGCTATCCAGATACCAGAATCCTCCCTAAAAAGTGCATCTATAGTTCAAATAATGTTGGAACAAGGTCCATTCAAAAATGGAACGACTCAATAGAATTAAAAAAATTCAAAACAAGTTTGCAGAGAGAACATCTCAAGTTTCAATGTGTGACAGGAATTAAGATAATAGCAATGAATCAACTGTATTTTAATAAAACATTGTGAGAAAAAACACTATCGATTCAGATAAATTTATGTGTTTTGTTTCCGCCGAATTTGTGCAGTTATTCATATTCATCTTGAGTGGTAAGTATGTTATCATTCGCTGCATTTGAATTCTATATTAAAATTGCAAAAAATCTGGCACTTCACAAATCTTATTATGCCTGTTCGAACTATTACTTGACTTTTTTCTGTATGAAATTGCACCAAACAACTTTTGTTACTTTTTTTGTACCAAACAAGAATCACTCATAGAAAGTGGATTTGATATAACAAGATAAATATTACCACTTCTTTCATGGAACATAAATATCTGACTTGCGAATAAAATTTTGTAACTGGATACTGTGTGGAAAGTGCAATACCCTTGAAAGGACTTTCAGATGGCTGCCTTTACTCGCTTCCAAATAAGAAACCTTTAGAGAATTGGTATCCACTTATAATGTCATTCCACGCATATTCACGTTTTCAAAAGGATATATTGGGAACCGAAACTTTGCATGGCTACCATGATATTGTACTGGATTTCCCATTTTTTGATTGCACATAAACATTCAAAATTCTCTCGCAAATCGGTATCTCTTGAATGTTAGGAGAAAACCCTCATATCAAAAGTTCACAAAAGGAGTATCTATCTATCATGCACAAGTCTCAAAGTATTCTCGCTGGATCGTGTTTCTCAAATTTCTCACACCAAACCTTGCTCTTTTGATAATCATTTACCTAAGGTAATGAAAAGAGTTTATAGCTATCAGTGGAAACATTGTAAACCATAATTTATAGTTTTTTTACACGACAATAGCCCGATTGAGAAAGTGCTACCATCTAGATGCAAAGTTAATACTTGCAGTCTCAAGTCTTAGCTGTACTTCTCTGATCTTATATGGAAAAGTTCCCCTCTGATGCATTTACTCAATAAACAAGTGCTACCTTCCAAGCAATTCCAGGTTCTAAGCCTTATCGCTAGAATCATTATTCTAAAGATCTCACATGAAAATTTCTCCCTCCAAACTTTGCTCAAATGAAAAAACCACAGTAACCCCACAGGTATACTGTAATGACTTGCAGTTTCAAAGCACATACATTAACCGTATTTCTGAGGTGAGATCCTCAAACGATCATAAAAAACACGCATGAGGTCATTCCTCGTAATTAAGAAGCTTCTCCAAATTAAGTTGCTAATAATAAACCAGTAAGGCAGGCATATACAGCCTTCCACTCATGATAAGTCTACACCTAGAGTCGCCCACAGGTGCACGCACGGGCCTACACGAGCACAAAACCCTTGGTTCCAAAACTTTCTCGCTGACTTACAATGAATTTGTATCTACCTAATTCAAGGTCAACTTTCGGATTGCCAAAAAACTAAGTTAACAGTATGCGGTATACTAAAAGTCAAAAGTGCTTTTTACAACATATCTGTGACTATATATCAATTAAAGTCATTCAATAACATAAGGCTTTCATCTTACTGTGGTACCATTCAGCCTCCTACCGTTTCTGACATTCTTTCACCTAATAACGTCATTCCCTTAACGAGTCTACTTGATGTTATTTATTCTTGCATGTTGGAGTGTTTCACTCTCCCGCATAGACCACATTTCGCAGACGCTCGCGGGTTAAGTTGAAAAACGCTTTTTAGCGACACTTCGCCTTTTTATACTTTGTATAAATAAAGCCGGATTATTATTATTATTATTATAAATGTATCTTAATCCACCAAATATCGTCATTCTCTGAATGAGTCAACCTACTTGTTCATGCAAGTTCTAAAACATACTTCATTACTTGAACTCAAAAGCCAAAGGGTTTGAATTTGTATGGCTTTTGAGTTCAAATAATGAAGTATGTTTTAGAAATTGCATGAACATTTCCGCTCACTTAAAAAGGAGTTTTATATAAAGTTTATTCAATACAAGATATGACAACAAAAAAATAATCGAAAATATAGGATTTGATTAAATGAATTATTGACTTGATTTGACCTTCTACAAAATAGAATATAAGAGTTTTGACAAAAAAAACAGAGTATCGAAAATATATGATTTGAATTAAGTGAATGATTAGATAGAAACATGTATACGAGTAGACGAAGAATAGGATTGAATTGAATAAATGAGTATTTGTAACTCAGTGGTTAAAAAAACAAATCGAAAACACACACACACACACCCCAGAATTAAGGAAAATTATGTTATATAATATTAAATATTATTTCACTATGGGTAAAGGACAATGCTTTACCACCGGCCGCGTGGTTGAGCGAGTCTCCTACTCGCCGCCAGAGCTTCATGGCCGATCTCTTTTACGCGAACCACGACCTGCGCTTGGCGGCGTCTGTGAGGTCCGTGACAGTGGATCGCCTTCTAGATCGACGCGAATTGACCTCGAATATTCTAGATGTCGCTTTGTGGTTCACCAGACCTTCCTCGAAGCAGCAATGGGGACTATATATAACTCGGCGGCCGGTAGATGGAAGCAGAGTACTGAATACGGTAGAGTAGCAGAGCGGAGTGGAGTATAGTACAGTCAATGGCGACATAAGAATTAGTCAGACATAAATAGTGGTGTACATAAATGTTCTATCAAATTAAATAAATTAGTGCATTTCTTTTTGTGGAATCAAGTGTTTTAATCCACACTCAGAACCCAGAAAAACGCGACATTTGTGTACGTGTAGGGTGTGGATTATTGAACATTTAGTGAAAATAAATCGGACGATCAGTGAAGGAAGAATGGCGCGATTAGTTGATTTGAAAATTGCCGATTTAAAGAGAGAGCTGGAGGAAACAGAGTGCGACACGGCCGGAAGGAAACCAGAATTACAGGAGCGGCTTCGTCAAGCACTGATTGAGGAAGGTGAGGACCCGGATATTTTCATTTTTACCGGTGCAGGAGTTATTGGATTAATGCTGCAAAACCTTTCGACCAGGTTAGAAAACAAGCTCGTGAAAAACTGTGCCAACCAGAAGGAAAGCTCGTGGAAAATTGTGCCAACCTAGAAGGAAAGCTCCTGGAAAATTGTGCCGACCTAGAAGGAAAACTCTTGGAAAGTACAGCCAAATTAGAAGAGAAGTTTATGGAAAATACTGCAAATTTAAAGAAAGAATTGGAAGATAAAATTATGGAAAAATCTTGCGAGTTGGAAAGACGGATTTTAGAAACTTTGGAGGGCAGAATTCAAGAAGTGCAAGGCAAGTTTGCCGCTTTAGATGTCAAGACCGTCGACGTACGACAGCGTAGATTTCCGTTGAAAAAATCAAGTGAGGTTGGAGCTTCTGTTGGGTCAGCTGGTCATCTGCGAATGGAACCGCCTCAATTTGATGGTACAACGCCTTGGAATGTCTATCGACGTCAGTTTGAGGCAGCCGTGAATGCAAATGGTTGGTCAACGACCGAAAACGCAACTGCACTCACTTTGGCCCTACGAGGAGATGCTGCAGCTATTTTTCAAAGAATATCACCCGAAGAGCAAGAGGTCTACGAACAACTAGTAGGATATTTGGAGATGCGATGTGGCCAGGTACATTTAGAACATGTCTACCATACTTAACTAAAGAATCGGTTCCAGAAGTCAGGCGAGTCCTTGCAGAAGTTCTAAGCGGACATTGCGCGGTTGGTATATGATGTTCAGGAAAGGATAATGGAGCGATTGGCAGTTCAAGCAGTCCTGGATGGACTTCGTGTTGGTGAAATGAGGCCTTACTACTAGCATATTCACCTAAGCTAGTAGATGCGCTAACTTGGGCCCTAGAATTCGAAGCAGCTAAAGACACAAATATATGGCAGGAGCGAGTCCGCCAGATGGCACCAGGAGATAATGAGTTCGAAGCGTTTGTCAAGCGCATTATTAAGGAACTTGATGGTGAACGATGTCGTCACAACAGCAAGTTCGAATGTTGGAAATGTGGGAAAATAGGGCACGTTAGGAGACGCTGCTTAGAGGATGGTTAGCATTACCAGCGGGCAGAGGAGAAAGATGCCCGAGTATTAAGAACCACTATAGTTAGTGATACTTGGCAAAATGAAGACCTCATTAAAGACCAAGAGGGCGATCCTGATCTTCGAATAATTCTGAACTTGATGAAAGAACAACGGAAACCAGCCTGGGAAGAAGTAAACTGGATGAAAGAACAACGGAAACCAGCCTGAGAAGAAGTTGCCAAGTATTCCCCTAGCATAAAATCATATTGGGCACAATGGAATTCTCTCGTTATGGACGAAGGACGGACTCTTACTGCGTAAAATGGTGGACCACGACGGCAAAGAGGAAAGAAGACAAATCGTCATCCCCAGATGTCGGATCCCGGAGCTGCTAGAAGAAATCCATTCCGGTGTGTCAGGAGGTCATCTCAGAGTTACAAAAACCCTGGAAAAACTGAGGGAAAGCTTTTTTGGGTATTGGGTCAATAGCAAGGAGGACGTGAAAGACTGGTGCAGGAAACGCGTTGTGTGTGCGGCAAGTAATGGACCGCAAAGGAAACCAAAGGCTTCGATGCGCCAATACTACGTGGGTAGCCCCTATGAAAGGATTGCTATTGATGTGGCGGGACCCTTTCCAGAAAGTGAAGCAGGAAATAAATACATCGTTGTGGTAATGGATTACTTCAGCAAGTGGGTTGAGGCATGCGCTCTGTCAAATCAGGAAGCCTCTACGGTAGCCGATGCCTTAGTAAAGGAATGGATCAGTCGATTTGGTGTACCTTTAGTAAGTATCTGTCAAATCCTTGGTGATTAAGACGACCAGGACTTCTGCCTTACACCCGCAGTCAGATGGAATGGTGGTGCGCATGAATAGGACCGTTAACCGATATTTGGCTAAGGTAGTCTCTAGCCATCAAAGAGACTGGAATAGTTTCATTCACCTCTTCTTATTGGCTTACCGATCGTCGATTCATGAAAGCACAGGAGAGACCCCGGCTCGAATAGTTATGGGAAGAGAACTTCGTCTCCCATGCAATCTAAAGTTTGGCTGTCCACCAGGAACTGATATTGCCGGAGAAGACTACGTAAGTGACCTGCGTAGAAGAATGGACGCCATCCATAGCCAGGGTCGTGTTTCAATTCAAGGTGCCAGCGACAGGATGTAAGAAGCTTTTGACGTTAATGCCAGACCAGAGGTATGACAACGGTGATACGGTTTGACTTTACGACCCAAAGAGGCGAAAAGGGCTGTCGCCTAAATTTCAATCATTCTGGGTCGGGCCATATAAAGTTCTGGAGGCCATCAACGATGTTCTCTACAGGATTCAGAAGGCACCACGCGGTAAAGCCCGAATTGTTCATTTCAACCGCCTTGCACCTTATCATGGAAACAACGAAGATGCGGCGGTGCGGCAAATCCAACCAGAATCGGACATGATATTTGACCAATTTATGGCTCACCATGCTAATGGCCATAAGAGTCGGTATGGCCATTAGCATACCCTTCACCAGAGTATGCCCTGGCACTGTGTGGCTCAAGACTTACGAATGTCGAGAGGTATAGCAAAGGTCTTTCTTAGGAAGTTTGGAAGAGTGCACGAAAGATCTTCTATCTGGTTACCGAGAAAGCTTCGTATCAGAAACCGAATTGCGAAGCTGTTTGGAACTCTTCATGTTCGTTTAGAGAAGTCTTGCTGGCCGAGGACCTGAGAAAACTGGAAATACCTAAGCTGGTATGTGAAGTGGACATCTTGGACTGGAGAATCATCCCAAGGTTGCTCGAGGTAGTCTTCCGGTATACAGGCATTCGATTTCTGGTATGTTGTCACAATCCTAGACGGCGACTTCCTGGAAAGAGTGTGGATTGTTACTTCTGCAAGGACTCCTACTGCAAGAGGGCCGTCATGCCGATATCGACATCCACCGCCAGTAAGATCATTCCGGGACCGAATGACTTTAGGGAGGGTGCAGTGAGACCAATAGTCTCTGCTTTTACGCGAACCACGACCGCACAAGCAGCTTGGCGGCGTCTGTGAGGACCGTGACAGTGGATCGCCGTCTAGATCGACGCGAAGTGACCTCCAATATTCTAGATGCCGCTTTGTGGTTCACCAGACCTTTCTCGAAGCAGCAATGGGGACTATATATAACTCGGCGGCCGGGAGATGCAATCAGAGTACTGACTGCGGTAGAGCAGCAGAGCGGAGTGGAGTATAGTGCAGTCAATGGCGACATAAGAATTAGTCAGACATAAATAGTGGTGAACATAAATTAATGTTCTATCAAGTTAAATAAATTAGTGCATTTCTTTTTTGGGAATCGACACCCAAAAGAACCCAGAAAAATGCGACATTAGCGTAATGATTGTCACGACCAGGATGAACTTCCATAACGCGTCAGAACAACCAACGCAGTAGAGGCGTTGACTCGTCCTTAATTATTACTAAGGAACCTAACTTAATTTCCGTTGATGGGTCGTTCTACTTACAACGTTGCTGCAGTGTTGAGATATTCGAGTTTCCAGAAATCTGAATGTAATCTTTGAATGAGTTGCCAACGACTAAGAGTATTTTGTTTAAGGGAGGATTACTCAGGATCTTTACATGAATTTAAAGGTTCTGTGGTTAATAAATGCCCTGGGGTTAATGGTGCTAAATCATTGGGGTCTGAACTTTGTTCACAAAGGGGGCGAGAATTTTGTAATGCTTCTATTTGAGTGAGAAGGGTATATAGTCCTTCGAGGGTTAGTATTTGGACTCCGATGACTCGATATAAATGGGTTTTAATGGATTTAACTCCCGCTTCGGCTAAACCTTTAAGATGGGGAGCTCCTGGACTATTTAAGTTAAATGTGATTTGTAAGTTTTCGGCCGCAGACTTGGAGGGATCGTGAAGCTCTCTGATAGCCCCGACAAAATTTGTACCCGATCACTTGTGATTTGTGTCCCGTCTGGCAACAAAACGTCTTAACGCAGCAATACAAGCTTCTGTGGTTAAACTAGAAACAAGTTCGATCTGAATTCCCTTAACACAAGTATCAACAAAGATAGCTATGTATGAATTCGAGGCTGGGGTACCGCGACGCCGCTGTCCTACAAAGGTTTTTATTGGACCTGCATAGTCTAGGCATACGTGGGAGAAACATTTCAATTGTGAGGTTCGAAAATATGGTAGATTCGACATGTAGGGGGTATATGTTTTGGGTTTTTGGCGAAAACATCGAATGCATTGTGACAAGACCGTTTGGATAGATCTGCGCGAAAATAAAGCCCAAAATTTCTGACGAATTAGGTATTGAATCGTGTTTAGTCCTGGATGTAAATGTTCCCTATGAGTTTGCTCAATAATAAGGTCTGTTAATCTATGATTTTTAGGCAGCAATACGGAATGTTTTGCATCGAAGGAAAGCTCAGAATTTCTTAAACGTCAGCCCACTCTAATTAAACCGGACTCGTCTAAAAAGAGCGATAGCTTCCGTAACGGCTTAGGAAATAATTGATTGGTTTTGATTTTCAAAATTATATCTGAAAAAAAATCGTTCTCGAATATTTTCACCAGAATTAATGACTGTAGTTCAAAGGCTGAAAAGGGATCTGAAATGGAACTTATTGTATCGTTTTTGACACAAATTACTCGAATAAGACGACAAATAATGTTTTTATAGTATTTAAACTGGATAAGTCATTTACTAATCGATGGAAAAAGTCTTGTCTGAATTTCGGCTGTAAGAACCACTGTATTATTTGGCTTTTTTTCCTTAACGACATCATCTAGTCTGACATCAGAACTTTCACCGATAAACCTTTTGATTTTCCATTTGGTAGTAGGCAAGGTTATCCAATGTGGACCATGGAACCAAAGGGGGTGATTGACAAAATTTGTTAGCGTTAAACCTCTGCTAGCGCAATCTGCAAGGTTCTTGAGAGACGGTATATGATACCACGGTACATTCGGAATAATCTTGTCTATGGCTGACACGATTTGCTACAAAGCTCTTCCATTTATGTGGATAGGATGTAATCCAATGTAATGCAACATGTGAATCAGAAAATATCATCTAGGACGACTAAGGAAGAATAGTTACGAATTACTAAATCTAACGAATCTGCTAAAAGGGTGGCTCCTAGTAGCTCTAGACGAGGGATTGATTTTGTATGCAGGGGAGCTACTGTTTTGATTTGCCGATAACTAAGGCTGACTTTATGACGTTTTTTTGGGAGTTCGACACGAAGAGATATACACAGCAAGCGTAACCAAGCTCTGGGGCGTCACAAAAACCGAATAGTTGACATCGCTGAAGGTTACTTGAAAAAAAATATTTAGGGATGCAAATATTCGAAAGAGTAGTTAATTGATTACGAAATTGATTCCAAAGGTTTACAATTGAATCTGGAGGGATTTTGCCTCAATCTATATTGCATAACGAAAGCTTTTGCATTATTACTTTAGCGAAAAATGAAACTGGTGTTAGAAAACCTAACGGATCCCAGATTTTTGCAATCTCGGAAAGAATATTTCGCTTGGTGCAAGGTCTGTTAGGAGAACATGAATAAGCGAAGGTATCGGACGAAGGATGCCAATATAGTCCCAAAACTTCAATGGAAGTTGAATCATCGTTCTGAAACGTCACGGGAATCTGTTGAATCAAAGTGCGAAATCAGTTTAGGATTATTTGACGCCCATTTTCTGAGTTCGGAGCCTCCTAGGTAGGGAGATGAGGGCTTTCTGAAGATTCAAAGCACTCTCTAAGGATGTAGATCGCTAAATAGGGACTTGAACTTACTCCAAAGGTAGCGGTGTTCAACCGATATTCCTGGATTGGTTCGGTGGGATGAAAGCGCCACAGTAATCTTTGATAGTGTCTGTGAATGGGATTGACCTTAATTTGCAAAAAAATGTTGTTTGATATCCGTTAAGACTACGACAGGGTAGAATCGGAATTTTAACAATATTTCGCAAATATCGTTATGTAATTTGGGGCCTATCAAAAAAGTTTCTTTCAAGCTGATACCCCTTGAGCCATTAACAGATGGATTAAAAACGACACGCAATTTCGTAGTGGTTTTATCCAGACCAAGTACTCCATCAAGTGGTAAATAACAACACAACTCTGGTCTAGAATGAGATTGAGGAACCAAAGACATGTGACCATTATTGATATAATCTCTTATAAAACCTGAGTATAGCTTGGATAAATTAGGGTTTTTTGAGTCGAGATTCAAGCGAGAGAAAATACCGATAGGCTATATTGAATAAGTATCTCCTAGATAGAGGGTTTGAATGACGAAAGGGTAGATTGACTCTAAAACGACCTGAAGCATCTCGGGTTGTGGACTTGTAAATTTCTTCACATCTGTTCTCATCAGGTTACGGAAATGTTTTGGATTTGACTGCTTTTAAAACCTTACTAAGGTCGAGAGAATGTTCACAAGAAACGAAGTAAGAATCAATTGGAAGTTGAGTACCTAGATTTGTGGCACCTAAAAGTACCCAACAGAAGATTTCGGCGAAGAGTTCTGCACCTAATAAATGGTCAATAGGACCAGGAATATGAAATTGATCATCTGCAAGCTTCAGATTGGAAATATAACTCCATGACGAAGGATCAACTGGAGCTTGAGGCATTGGAGAACTAAGTTTTGATAGAACCAAGATTTGAATTGTGAAAGTAGGTTAAGACTCTGGGTTTGATAGTGCAAGTAGACATGCCTTTAGTAGTTAAAGATGATTGATTTATTCCAAAGACAGAGATAGAATGTTGGTTTTTTGAAATGCCAAATCGGTTGAGACAAGATTCGCTTATAAAGTTTGCTTGACTTCCGCTATCTAGGATTGCTCGAACTGTTTGATAATTACCTCGAGCGTCAAGGACATCTAGTTTGAGGGTGGATAGAAGCACAGTTCTTCTGAGTATCGAAGCAGACAGTGATGTGCAAAGGTTGGTTAATGGATTAAGTTGTGATGGGTTAGAATAATCTTGAATCGAGTTTGAAGCGATTTGATTATTACTTGACGAACTTTGGATTAAACATGGGTTATTTTGACTATAGTCGTAATTGGGATGAAAAAGATTTGAATCAAACTGATTTGGATTGGAATGTGCTAACATTAGGTTAGCAGTGACTTGATTTGGATTGGAATCGATAGAATTATGATTTTGATTTGGATAAGCAACGGTCGATTGTGGCAGATGCAACAAAGTGTGGTGGCGATACCGACAGATTTTGCAATTGAATGTGCTCGCGCAATTTCGTAAAAGATGATTAAAACCCAAACAGTTTACGCATGCTTTGTGTTGCTTCACGTACGCAAAACGGTCTGAAAGTGATTTTGCAATGAACATGGCACATTGCTTCAAGGGATGAAATAGATTGTTGCACAGTATGCACTTGTTTGAATCTTGATTTTGAGATGAATGGTTTGCGCTGGGATTGCTCGATTGTGGACTCGCTCTTATATTGAAATTGTACTGCGGATTTGATGTGTATGAGCTATTGAGATATGTTATTATTAGAATTTGGATGATTCAGTTTCGGTTGTTGCCGTCCTGTACTTTGGTGCGTTGGGGAGTTTTGATGTCATTTTATTGTTGCACGATGAGGTTTTTCACTCTCCTACATGCAGCACCACATCACTTGACGCTCGCGAAATGTATCCTAAAATGCGCCCAATATCGTTATTCTCTGAATAAGTCAACCTACTTGACCTCATTTTAATGCTGCACGATGAGGTGTTTCACTCTTCTGCACGGACCCCATTTCGCAGACGCTGACGTAATGTATGCTAATCCGCCCAATATCGTTATTCTCTGAATGAGTCAACCTACTTGTCATTTTATTGTTGCACGATGAGGTGTTTCACTCTTCTGCACGGACCCCATTTCGCAGACGCTGACGTAATGTATGCTAATCCGCCCAATATCGTTATTCTCTGAATGAGTCAACCTACTTGTCATTTTATTGTTACACGATGAGGTGTTTCACTCTTCTGCATGGACCACATTTCGCTGACGCTGAAGAAATATATCCCAATCCCTGATTAATTTATCGCTTGACTGAGTTAACCTTCTTGACATCATTTTAATGCTCCATGGTGGGGTGTTTCATACTCCTGCAAGGACATTTCGCAGACGCTGGCGAAACGTGTCGTAGTTCGCCCAAGATCGTGATTCCAGAACGAGACATCCTATTTGACGTTATTTTACTATTGCGGGAAGATTAACTCTCCTACATGGATCGCAATTCTCAAACGCTCAAGAAATGTATTTTATCTGGTAATTATTAAAGCTACTGAAACAGTCAACAACTATCTCTCTCTGTTTCTCTCTCTCTCTCTCTATTGCCGGCATCACAGCTACGTATCAAATTAAGAGAAATTGAGAATAACCAGTTGACATAGGCAACAATGTACGGTCCTGATTATGTATGCTCTAAGTGAGAATATAACCTGAAAGGTCCTCACTTTGTTGTAAGTGTTTCAATATATGGACTCGTTAGTTTAGGATCTCGGGCGGTCCTCGATTTGTCCGATATACAAGTCATAAATTTAAAATAGTTTTTTCCGTGTAAACTCACCACTTTTAAATATAACAATGGCGTGATACTAGATCATGCCTAAAACCACATTTGTAGCTGCATTCCTTCTGGTGGTCCTCACTTTGTATGGTATACAGTCAGTCCTCACATTGTATTCCAGCCAAAGTATATTGTTAGAAAATAATGAAATCGAGGCCAGTCTGTGCGTACCGCTCGAGTAGTACGGAGCCTGTCGTGGTCTGCGTTTTGCATTTGTTTACGTTCTCATATCATCAAAAATCGGAAGTGGAATTGAATCTGCGTTCACGCTGTAAGTCCTATTGCAATGTTTATGTATATTGAATGCAGCATAATATCTGTTATTGAGGCAGTTATTTTTTTTCCATGCCATATTTGTTGTTATTTTTGTTACTACGGCGATTGGTTGTACCAGATATACCAAGAGACGAACTGATTACATATTTCATAGCGTGTGTCGGTTCAGTGATGTAAATAAGACATACAGCCTTGGCCAAAAGTATTGAGCACCCTCGATATCTTTCAATTTTAGGGGACTATTATATTGGAATAAATTGACAGAATTTTTTATAGTCATAAATGTCTTATTATGAGAAGAAAATCAATATTTTGTGGGACCTCCTTTCACCTTAAGTACAGCAGAAATTCTTCTAGGTAATGATCGTGCAAGTTTATTACATTCTTCGTAAGTTAAAGCGTTCCATTCTTCACGTAGGCGGCGCTTTAACTCTTCTTCTGTGTTGATTGTGTGACGCCTGATCATGCGTTTTAATAAGTTACACAAATGTTCAATCGAACTCGGGTCTTGTGACTGGGCAGGCCAACCCAGAATCTCGATACAGTTTTCTCTGAACCAAGCCTTTTTGTCCGTGCAGCTTTGTGGCAAGGCGCATTATCTTGCTGGAATTTGACACCATTCATGTTGGTATCACCATAAAGTGCGGTAAACGACGGCAAAAGAGCACATGCAAGTACGTTTATGTACTTTGTGGAATCCATGCGACCCTCACAGACGGACATTTTTCCGACTCATGCAGCCCCAGACCATTACGCTGCCGCCACCATGTTTCAAAGTAGGCACCACACACTCCTGATTGAATTCTTCTCCTACTCGACGACGAACAAATGTCACACTAGGTGTAGCAAAAATCTGAAAAATTAAGAAATATTAAGTAGTTGGTTAGTTGAATAATTTATTGATACAATTTGTTTCAAAAATTATTGTTACATCTCGTTACTGCATCAAATCAACTAACGTACCTCAAAGTTTGATTCGTCTGACCATACAATATTTGACCAATCCTCTTCAGTGAAGTTTTTGTATTTTAAAGCCCAATCATACCGAGCCTTCTTGTTTTTGTCTGAGAGCCATGGCTTCTTTCCGGCTTTGCGGCCATTTAGACCAGCTTCTTGAAGCTTTCTGCGAGTAGTTCGGGTAGAAATTGGTCTATTAGTCTGCGCTGATAGCTCGGCGGCGAGGACAATAGAAGTTTTTTTCCTCTTTTTCAAAGACTCTCTGGTCAATACTCTGTCTTCACGATCTGTGGCGATGCGTTTGCGGCCTCTTCTAGGTCTATCGTTAAGTGAACCGGTCCGAGCGAATCGCTGAATAGTGTATTGTACACATCGATGCGAACACTTCACTGTTTTCGCAATGTCTACTTGGGACTTCCCTTGTTCATGAAGAACCTGTATTTTCACACGTTTTTCAATGCTCACTTCATTCTTGTTTGCCATATTGCGAGAGTATTAGTTAAATTCTCGAAATAAAATTATCAAAGTCTCACTAAATCACTGAATTGATCACAACGAACGATAGAAGCGAAATGATACATTCGCACTGAAAAGGTAAAACTGAGTAATCTCTAAAAAACTAGACGTCTTAGCGATAGTAAGCAGATATAGTATTGTTTACAAACCGGTCTGGATACCTACAAATATTTTTGTAACCTTCAGTTTTTCTTTTCATCTATCATTACAGCGTCCTTACAATATTTTTAGGGTGCTCAATACTTCTGGCCAAGGCTGTATATGGAATTGTTTTGGGCACGTCTTGCTGGGGGAAACTTGTTTTTTTTAACTGTTGACATTACTCATTCATGGTTGATTAATGATTACTGATACAAAATACATTTTATGTGAAAAAAGGACAACAATATCATTACATGAGATTGTTTTAGGCCCATATCGTCAGTCGTCCCTACAATTGTAGGGCGCGTTTATGGCCTCCTTGATTGTCATATTCCTTTCTCTCCTTCAAAAATTTCTAGATTACACTTGTCCCGTGTCAGCGTCAGCACTCTCCTATTGTGAAGATATGTTTTCCTGTTAAATTGTAGGAAATTTCAGGCTGATAAAACATGATATAACTCAAAAGCAAGCACAATTTGATGCAAATAGATGTTTGTGACATAACCTCAAAATAGAGCACTGACATGGAAAAATAGAAAACTATGACAATCAACGAGGCCATAAAGGCGCCCTACAATTGTAGGGACGACTGACGATACGGGCCTAAACCATCATATAATTGGCAACTAAAAGAAAGCAGCCGTGGAATGTACAGTACAATAATTGAATCGGAAGATTATGTTGTTGATTCAGATTTTCTACATCTGCAACAAGCGCATATCCATATTGAATGGATTACCAGAAAAATTTTCTTTTGACACGTTTTGCTATACAAGCTAGTTCTTTTTGCTGTTATATGATTTTAGTATCATTCCGGTCCATTTCTGAGTTTGTGTTTACACTTACAGGAAAAAATAAGTGAATAAATACATCGTCATGGAAGAGCTTGGTGCTAGTATCTCAACCAAAGATCTTCTGACGGAGCTAGTTAAGGCTCTCACATCATCGCGAACTGCACCTGAACAAGTAGATTTACCAATTTTCAGACCAGATTTGAGCGATGCAAAGAAATGGCTTGCCGAGGTAGAAAGTATAAAAAGTGAATTTGAATGGTCTGACCAACAGACCATCGTGAGTTTGGGTCGATTTTTAACAGGAATCTCTAAAACGTGGTTTGCAAACTGGTCATCAGATGTAAAAAACTGAGACACTTTTGTACGTGACTTTTTGGAGGCTTTTCCACCCAAAAATTTTTTTGGGAGAATTACTTCTTAAAGCGTCTCAATTCAATAGTCACAACTGCAATACGTACGAGGCGTATGTCTGAGAAAGTTACTCTGATTCGAAACCTACGGGCACACTGGGCTGAGACAGACCTTGTGAGATAATCATCCACGGAATTGTGGAACGTGACGTGCGTGTCACTGCCGGCAATCAGAATCATAAAAAATATCCGATCTCATTTCTTATTTAGGATCAGTGCCGAAATGTCGTTCCAAAGAGTCAAGGGCTGATAATACGACTTCGGAAATAAGGGAGCCGCCCCGTAAACGGTTCCGTGAGAGCATCGAGGATGATAGAAAACGCAAAAGAGCACTTCACGTGTTATAATTGTGGAAAAAAGGGTCACATCCAGAAATTTTGCATTGAAATGAATAAAAATGACGAAACACGGAGACATTCATCTCCTGCTAATTATTTGAAGTCATCTAAGGTAACCTCTGCGTTAGTGTGTTCATTCTGTGCTAAAAGTGGACATAAAATTGATGATTGTTTTATAAAAAATGGGATCGAGAAACGCAGTAATGTGAATCGTTGCAGTAGTAGTAAATCAGGTACTACCGAGATGATGATCAATGGAATAACGATGAAAGGCATCGTAGATATGGGTGCTGACATTTCATTAATTGCTCGAAAACATCCTGAAAAGTTTCAGGATAAACTAATACCCACCCGCACTACAATCAGCGGTGTATCACCTGGCTGTTATGTTTCGGAAAAATCTTTAATTGCTGACTTTGGGATGTCCGGCGTAAGAACAGAACTCACATTCATCGTTGTGCCTGACAGTTTGCTCGAAAATGACGTATTGGTGGGATGCAATCTTTATGACGATCCCGACATCGTGACGATCACAAATGATGCTGGTACCAAAATTGTTAAGAACAAAGTTGCTAGAGTACTTGATATCTTGCCGAATGCTGAAGATCTTGAGGTGGACGTACCAGATATACACAAGTCCAAATTATTGAAACTTCTTTCCCGTTATAGAGACATTGTAGCAGCTAGTGCAAACGCCGTCACCTGTGTAAATAACACCTCGATGCATATAAGACTTCGCGATGACTTCGTTGTTAATGGAAGCACTTACCGATTATCAATAAATGAAAGAAAAATTGTTCAAGACATTGTTAATGGCCTGTTAAATAACCGTATCATTCAGGAAAGTGAATCGCCTTTTGCAAGCCCCATAATACTCGTCAAAAGGAAGGAGGGTTCTTATAGAATGTGTGTTGATTTTCGTGCGCTCAATCAACATACAATCAAGAATCGATACCCCTTGCCGTTGATAGACGACCAATTGGTTCGGTTCGGAAAGAGCAAAGTGTTCACCTCTTTAGATATGTCCTCCGGACTTCATCAAATCCCATTCGATTCCGAATCAGTTCATAAGACTGCATTCGTAACGCCAGACGGGCACTTCGAATATTTACGAATGCCATTTCGCCTAGCCAATGCCCCGGCAGTGTTTCAAAGGGCAATAAATAAAGCATTGGGGAATCTCAGGAATACGGTAGCACTGGTATACCTTGACGATGTTCTGATACCCTCCGAAACTGTTGAAGAAAATCTGGCATCATTGGATCTACGAGTAGTATTGCAAGCACTCAAAAATGCAGGATTCAGTTTGAACTTAAAAAAGTGTCATTTTCTTCAGAACAAATTAGAATATTTAGGCAGAGAAATATCTGCAGAAGGCATATCTCCTGGGTCACAAAAGGTGGAAGCACTGGTAAGATCTCCTGTACCTTCCACATTAAAACAAGTCCGACAGCTGATGGGCTTGATACTTTCGGAAATTCACACCGAATTACACACAGATGCAAGTAGTATTGGTTACGGAGGGATGCTTATCCAAAAGCAAGACGGAAATTTACGAGTTATTGTATACATCAGTAGAAAAACCAACAAGTATGAAGAAAAATACCATTCTTATGAATTAGAAACTCTTGCCGCAGTAAGTTCCATGAAGTATTTCCGGGTCTATCTCCTCGGTATCCACTTCACGTTGGTTACTGATTGTAACGCTATCAAATCAACAGCAGCAAAGAAGGACATCCCACCAAGAGTAGCTCGCTGGTGGGTTTATATGCAGGATATTGATTTTGATATAGTTTATAAAAAAGGGTGTTCATTGCCACATGTAGATTTTTTTAGCATTAATCCTGTAATTCGCTGTTTGACTAAATACAGCAACTGGTTATACAGGGTGTCCGCAAAGTTGGGGTTTTCCTTTACACGACGTGTAGTACTTGAAAACATAAGCAATTTTTCTTAGTACCATATACACCAATGTCTTAAGGGAACCGAGATAAAGGCCTCTGCAACATCAAAAATATCTGAATACCGTCCTGTAGCCGCGACCCGCGATATCTCAGACTGGTACCGGCTACTAGCTGAACCCGACGACAGAACTGGGTCGGGGGTCGGGGTCAGTGTGTCAGGTCAGTATGCAACCTTCAACCGACGGTAAAGGGTTACGCGTATAGAGGTAACGAACCCGTATAATCGATTGCGTTTCAAAAAAAAATAATAATGGCACACTCATACACCAATTATGAACTCGTTGATATGTTGTTAATTTATGGCGAATGTCTTCAAAATGATACAGAATCGTCGCGAGTGTATGCAGATCGTTTCCCTAGACGACATCATCCAAGGCCCCGCAGATTTGTGTACCTGGTCCAGAGAGTCAGGGATTTTGGAGGAATTTCGAGGTGGGCACAGTGGGAGGCCTAGACAACCACGAATGGTGCAAGTTTAAGAAGAACTACTGAATCGCGTAGACGAGAATCCCTCAACAAGCACTAGAGACGTGGCTAGAGACGTGCAAGTATCAAAAACTAAAGTGTGGCAAACGTCCAACGTGTACAAGCCCTTCAACCTGACGATTTTCCAGCAAGAGTGCGGTTTTGTGAGTGGTTGTTGCATCAACATGACAATAATCCGGACTTTTTAAAGTGCATATTGGTGACAGACGAATCTACGTTGACGCGTAATGGGGTGAATAACTTTCGATTTCAGGCAGAGACGTACTTAGCCCTTCTCGTCAACTGGAGAGTGAGTACTTTTTCCTTTATTTTTTTTTTACTTGGTCGCCCTCGTTTCACTACACATTTCCTTTGTTATTTCAAGGGTAGTTGTTTCTGAAAAGGAAAACCCCAACTTTGCGGACACCCTGTATATTGAGCAACGTGGAGATAATGAGGTTAAAAGATTGCTTGTCTGATGACTGGAAGGAAGGACGCTTAGACAAAACTCGTTATTCTGTTAAAAATGATATACTACATTACAACATTACAATCTATCTACACCTGGGAGATCCGTTTCCAAAACATTTGTACCTCGACAAAGCAGATTGGGCTTGTTAAGGATATTTCATGATGAACAGTGTCAACGTTGGCATTGACAAAACCTTAGAATCAATACAAAGGCACTTTTGGTTCCCACGTATGTGATACTTTGTTACAAAGTATATCAAGCATTGTCTCATCTGTGCTGTGAAGAAAACTAGGCCTGGTCCATTACAGGGCTTCGTCACAAGAGTTGAAAAACCGTCTGAGCCCATGAACATCATTCATGCCGATTGCTTAGGGCCCTTAGAAACCACAAACGAAGGACATAAGCACATTTTAGTATTAATCGATGCGTTTACAAAGTATTGCATAGTGTTGCCGTTGAAGACGGTCAAAGCCTGCGAAACGAAAGAAGCTTTTCAATTGTTCATATCTCTGTTTGGTACGCCGAAGTAAATCATTATGGATGCAGGTAAAAACTTCAAGAACTTGAGCCTCCCAGAATACTTGGACTCCTTAGGTATCTGTTACCATTATACCACCCCCGATGTACACAGGTCCAATGGGCAAGTAGAGAGATATATGAGGAAAATAATGAATCTTCTGCGAATTGAAACAAAAGTTCGGTCAGAATGGTCGAGTGGTTTATGGAAAATTCAGTTGGTTTTGAATACGACTGTGCAGATGTCAACAGGAACAACACCACTTAGAGCTTTAATTGGCGTTGATAGTTCTACTCCACTTATCCAAAGTTTGCTGGCTAACTTAAGTTCTGATCTACAGCCAATCAGAAATTTACAACTAGATCGTAGTAGAATGAAGGATCGTATGGAGTCGTTAGCACAGGAGAATGAAAAACGCCGATATACCAAAAACTTCAGCATTGGAGATTTTGTCCTTATGCATCGTGATTATAAGATGCACCAAGGTAAATTGAAGTACGAATTTCAGGGACCTTTCGAAATTGTGGGCATCACATCAAAAGGTCGATATGAAATGAAGAGAGTTGGTAAATCTCTTGTAACTAAGGCTGCTAAAGAACAATTGAGGAGTTGGCCTAGTAATTGGTCGATGACTGTGAACATAGAGGAGCTTCTTGAAGATTTAGAGAATGAGTAAGTAGTCTGGATATTGGCCAGTGTTAGAATGTAGTTTTGCACGCAATTGTTTCATGTTTTAAAGCTTGCTACGCTTTACATGTATTTATCTGGTGGTTAAAGCTTGGTACGTTTTGCACGCATTTGTTTCATGTTTTAAAGCTTGCTACGCTTTGCAAGTGTTTATCTGTTGTTTAAAGCTTGGTACGCTTTGCACGCAATTTTTTCATGTTTTAAAGCTTTACGCTTTGCATGAATTTATCTGGTGCCTAATGCATTTTTACGTAATGGAATTGTTTATTAAGTCAAGTGTGACTTTGTGGTATTGTTTCAGTGAGGAAGAACCAGAGGCTGCAGATGAAACTGAAGCAAGGAGTGAATGATTACTTTGTCTGTTATTATTGTTTGCGGTATTTGTTAATTGTTATAATGTTACTAGTTTCTGAATTTGTTATACACAAGAATATTTTCTTTCTGAGTATTTTGTCTTTACTTCGTTGCGGAAAATTATGCTTGTTGTACAATTAACGTCGAGAACGACTTTGCACTCAGGTTGGCCGTGATAGAATCAAAATAATGAAATTACGGACACTAACTTTAGACAGACAAATGTAGTAAATACAATCCCGACCGCCCACGGTCCGCACGCCGGTGGTCGATCGAGGCCAGTCTGTGCGTACCGCTCGAGTAGTACGGAGCCTGTCGTGGTCTGTGTTTTGCATTTGTTTACGTTGTCCTATCACCAAGATTCTATCAATATATATAAATGAAAGACT